AATATCTTAGTGATCTTGTCATACTTGTTGTGTGACTAACAAAAATCTTAATAATATGGCATTATCTAATATAATTCTCCGAACACCAGAAAAAATGCAAGCAATAATTAATACAGGATGATCAAAAGAATATTTGATTCATGAAGAGAATAATTTCTTATGGAATTTTGGATTAGTGCAAAATCTTTTTAATAATCGATTGATATCAATATTAATCATAATTGATTGATTAATTAATTAATTATATTAGTGATTTTAATATCTATAAAGCAACAATCTCTGATAGAATGTATTTGCTCAATTTGAATATTTTAAAATATCTTTTAGAATTACCTGAACATATATTTAACAAAAAGTAGGAATGGCAATTATTAAGGAGATAAATTTATGATTATGCACAATTTTCTGATATCAAGAACTTGTAATTATAAAAAATGATCTAGAGAATATATCATGATTTACAGCTAATAATTATTACAATATAATGAAGATGATAATTTTAATAATAGATAATTTATTTGTCAAATATAAGAATGATAAAGTTCCATGTGAGAGATTGTGTGAAATATTTTATAAGTATATGGAAATATATATGAAAACTCGTCAAGAATCATTTACTGATGATGATTTAACTAAACTGAAAGTAAATCTTTATTATGTTACTTCAGCTATAATGATAAGACATAGCGATAGTTAAAGGATGGAAAATTTTGATTTTGTGTAAATTATCGACAACTTAATAAAATAATTATAAAAGATCAATTTCCCTTATCTAAAATTAATGACTTATTAGATACATTTGAAAAAGCCAAATATTTTCAACTCTTAATCTTACTTATGGATATTGACATGTAGAAGTAAAACCAAAAAATCGAAGAAAACTGCTTTCATCACTAGTAAAGAATTATATGAAATGTCTTTTGGACTTACAAATGCACTAGTAATATTTCAGTGATTAATGAATAAAATCTTTAGACCATATATCAACAAATTCTTAGTTATTTATCTTAATAATATTAATGTATTCTCAGAAATCTTTGAAGAACATTTACAGCATTTGAAAATTATCTTTGATATAATTTGAAAAAGTGAATTAAAATTATATTCAAACAAATGCTATTTTGAAAAGACTTTATTAACTTTTCTTGAATATATTATTAGAAAGAATGAAATACAACCTGATTTTGCAAAAATTATAGCTGTATATAAGGATGCTTGCCTAAATTCTTTCAGAAAAATATTGTCATAATTTTGATGGGTTACACACTAATTATTAATTAGAATTTTGACATAATTTCAGTTATAACAGGTTTCAAAATTTGTCAGAATTTCGACAGGTTATCTACTAATAGTTTATTATAATTTCGACAGAATTTAGATAGTCACTAAGGGATTTCAGCAAGCAACCTTAGCTATACAAAACTTTCCAGTTCCAACTAATTTGACAATACTAAGAGAATTTTTAGGACTAGCCTCTTATTATTGACACTTTGTTAAAAACTTTGCTAAAATTATCACTCCATTACACCAGCTCATGAAGAAAGAACAATTTTTCACATGAAATAAAGACTGTTAAAAAGCTTTCAAAGAACTAAAACAACATTTGATATCATCACCAATATTAATTTATCCTAACTATTTCTTTTATATACTGATGTTTCTAGTTTTGAATTAGATGTTATACTTGCACAAAAAGAAACAGATGATAAAGAACATATAGTAGCTTATACTAGTAGAAGAACCAGCACACATGAATAAAATTATTGTGCCACTGAATTAGAAAGCTTAGATGTAGTCTGGGTAGTTTAATACTTTAAACTATATCTATAATCAACTATTTTATTTACTATTATCACTAATTATAATATCTTAAAAATATTATTCAACAAATCAAACCTTTCTGGTAAATTAGCCTGATGAATTATGACTTTGTGAGACTACAATTTCAATATTAAATATCATAAAGAACGTTTACATTCAAATGTAGATTCACTCTCTCAACATTTCAAGCCAGATCCAATATAGATTAAAACACAAAAAGATAATTTAATTATCATGAAAAATAACTTGGACACTTAATTTTGAAATAATCTAATTGATATTATGAACTTACTTGAATATAACCAACTCGTTAACTATTTGAACACACTACAATTACCAAAAAATCTAATAGTAAAAGAGCAACAAAAATTCAAAAATAAAGTAAAAAACATTACTTTATGAAAAATCAAACACTTTATCGATGTAATAATAGAAATCCAGAACAATTTTTAAAAGTTATTAAAGTAATTGAAATAGAAAAAATATTATTTAATGAACATTTAGCAATTCATATTGAACACTTTGGTATTAAAGTAATATATTATAGAATATCACAAAATTATTATTGGCCAAACTTATATAAAGATATTAAAAATTATATCAAAGTTTGTGATGTTTGTCAAAGAAAAGAAAGATTAAGAAAGAATAATTCATTATATCCAATTGAAACAAAATCACTATTCGAGAAAATTAGAATTGACCTAGTAGAACTATTATCACTTATCTCTAATAATAACAGATATTGTTGTATAATGATCTTTCATTATAACATTTCATATTATTGGATTATAAATATCTCATATATTATTGGATAAAGATCAAATCACATGAAATAAGCGAACAAGCGAGCAAACAAGTGAATGAACGAATAACTAAACGAATGAGTAAACGAACGAGCGAATGAATATTGAACCAATAGAATTTAAGTGATATAGCGAACATGAATTTGTATAGCCTAGAAATTATATTTTGAATTTGTATAAAAGCAACATATATCGTAGTTGTTAGAATTAGATATGAACAAGTCCTTTTAGATAATAATTCTCAATTATCACATCTAATTAGTTATCACGTAGTTTTGATCATTCAAAAAAAAGTAGTTTGCACTTTATGTAGAGTAAGTAGTCAAGTGCAAACTCCTTTCTACACCCTTTTGACAAAGTATTCTTGTTTCTTGTATAATAGCTTTATAAAAAGTTATATAGATCTTGAATTAATATATATTATAGTAGCTTAAGTCATATTGCTAGGAGCGCTATAAAAGTTATCATATTTATCTTAGACTTTCTAAACACATTGTGATGAAATCTATTGAATATTATATTAAATAAAGGAATTATTATTATAATTCATAAATCTGTCTTTGAGATTGTATTGCTGATAATATATTATTCATAAACTTACCTTTAATTTTGTATTGCTAATAATACATTGTTTATATACTTATCTTTGATTTGTATTGCTGATAATATGAATATTATATCTTATATTTAACTTCAAAAATTTAAAAATATTTTAATACGTATATTATATTTGACATTGAGATTTTGAGAATTCTTTTTAGCAATCCAGTTATTGCGTTAAAAGAACACAACTGTTATCAATCTTTAAGTGATTTTGTCACTAGTACTTTTAATACTTATTCACATTTAGCCTAATAGTCATAAAATATTATTAATATTTTGAATTATCGTTAAGATATTGGAAGTTTCTCTTTGAATATTTCTTAAATTTTATAAATACCTTTGAGTATTTTGAAAGCTCCATCAAATGGTAACAATATTATATTATATTTTCAATAATTAATATTATCTTGATAAAATATTCTTCTAATAAAGTATTCTAATACTAATTTTGATTATAAATTAAGTAAAATATAAAGTATTTCTTCATAATTCCTGAAATTAGCATTATTCTGAATCAAAATTATAACTTTCATATTAAGTATTCTTAATATAATATATTCTTATCTATATAAAATATTTAAGAAATACTAATTAATTTTTGAGCTTCTAGAATATAAGCGATTCAGGATACTAATTGCCAACAAATACAATATATTATATGTTAAATATCATGTATATGTTATATGTCATTATAATTGAATTCATTATAAGTAGTCATGAACAAAGAGAAAAATTATTTTGTTTGGTAATCAGTTAAATGTGTTAAATCAAGCTTATGAAATGCAATGTTAAAAATGATATTAGATTTTTTTATGAAAAAACAATTTGTATTCATTTCATTTTCAGTTGCACGTGTTTTTTCTTAATGAACTGTGAAGAAGGAACCTCGCGAGCCATTCAAGGATAAAGACTATGATTATTTTTATGAAATCGTTTTCACGGATATGTAGCAAAAGTGATCGACGTGATAAATTGTAACGCGCACGTGATTTTTCAGATGCTAATACCCATCATTATGCTAGGCATGGATCGGCATTCACGTCTGAGGGGATTTTTTGTACGAGTACCGTAATTTGCCATTTAGAATATCCCCCTATAATATTATATCCCCCATGAATTGTACCCAGTCCGATGCATGGTTTCCAAAGTGAGTAGAATGTAACGTACCCCCCTTGTAATTCTGGTCAAATATTGGCTAATTCTGGCTGAAACTATCATTTGCATATAGAATATCCCCCATATAATATACCCTCGTGCCGTACAGTATACTCCCCCGGATACAAATCGGATTTTGGCTGGTGGAATGTAACATACCCCGGGTATTCTAAACGGTAAATTACGGTAATAGCGAATATTAAATCAATCTCACGAAGACGGCGCTTAAGGAAAATCACAATGTTTTGAGGGACAGTGTAAACAGGTGATTAGTATAATCATGGGGTTATTAAAAGATAGAGTTTCCGCTTGTGATGAGCCAACAACTAAGAAGAGGTGTGTACAAGAAAAAATCAAAAAAATGATATATCAACCAAGAACTGTGATCTAATAAATCAAAATTAATTAAGCCAGACATAATTTTGGTCAACATTTTTAATGCCAACTATAATTTTGGTCAAATTTAAATGCTGAAATTTTTAATAAATATAGCCAATCATTGACCAACAGCACATATTGTTAATTTGTCTTTAAAACAAATCATTTTTCAGACTTCGTTACTTCCTTATTTATTTAATGGTATTGTATTTGGTTTAACTTACTCGGATTTACTAAAATATGGCTATACCCGTGGAGGACTGGTATTATGAAGTCCCCGTAATTACTAGAACATACTTAACCGCTGCGGTTATGACAAGTTTAGCCGTGGTATTTATACTCTTTTTATCTGAATTGCAAAGGAATGGGAAAAGTACCTCCAAGAAAAAGGAGAAAAATCTTGATATTATTATAATATGTATATACGCGCTTATTCCGATATTTATTTGAGATTTTTTAGCAAGTTGGACTTGTTAGTCCATTTCAACTTTATTTTAATTATGAACTGACATTTTGGCATTACCAGGTATTTAGGAATGAATTTATTAGTATTATCAAGAAATCCAAAAATATGAATTCTTGTTTAGTAGTTCACTCTTTTAATATCTTGATTTTCATCAAATATATAGTATTGGCGGCTTATAACAAATTTTTTATATTTTGGTCCGTTTACACTCGATTTTCTATTTCACATGTTTTTCTTGTATCCTTTATTATTGATTATTTGGATTGCGGAAATTGAGGGCATTTTGGAATGAAAGTTAACAAAATTAGTTTGATTGAATTATCCTTAGCATGTAAATTTAATATGCGAATAGAGTACGGTACAGTCGAATGTTGGAGGAAGGTTCATTTCGCGGTAGAACTGCCGATTATTTCTGGTTACTATTTCTTGCTGCTACCGCTTTATTGGTAATAAATATTTTTATATTCTGTTAATTAAAAATAACAAATATTGATATAATTATTATTATAATAGCTTTTATCGAAATTCGCCAGTCTACACTTTTTGGGTTCACCACTAGCATTCACATTAGTATACATATGGTCAAGGCGAAACCCATTTATACGCCTAAATTTCCTAGGACTATTTGTGTTTAGTGCACCCTTTCTTCCATGGGTACTGCTCGGATTCTCGTTAATGTTGAATAACGTGTTTCCAGTGGGCGATCTAATGGGAATTGTGGTTGGTCATGTGTATTATTTCTTTGAAGATGTCTGGCCGCATGAACGGGCGAGTGGTGGGCGTCGGCTGTTGAAGACTCCACAGTTTATGCAAGTTTTTTTTTTGATTTTTTTCTATTTTGAGAACGAGATATATTTATTTGATGCATTTTTTTGGATTTGTAGAGTTCGATTAATTGAAGGACCTTCTGGTAATGATAACCATATTGAGCCATACGAGATATATAACGAGGAGAGAAATCAAGAAGAGAATAATAACAATGATGATATTAACAACAATGATATTAACAACAGCAATGACGATAATGATAATAAAAATGATGATGATGATAACAACAATAATTATATTAGTAATAATAGTAATACAAATAATAATAATAGTAATAATAATATTGATAATAATAATGGCCGAATACCAGTCCGTTTTTTACATAATGAATAATTATAAATTGACAGCATATTAACAACGCGACTGATAACACTTTTGTCTTGTCTTGATTAGTTGAATGAAATAACAAACACATTTGTAATAATAGTATTGATAGTTTTTATCTACTTAATAATAATCAATAAGAAAAATAAAGATCAGAGAAAAATAAGGATTTCTCCTGTAAATGACATTTTCCGGCGGATCTCGATTATGATTTAAATTACTGGACTTAGACTATTTTGATTGGTTTAAATCACCTGACGAATCAATCGCGACAGTATTAGGACAGTGCACGATTATGTGGCCTTCAAATACATGCTCACGTGATCACGGAAAAATTGACGTTAAAGATTATTTTATCGTTTGGATTAGGATTAGGATTAGAGCTGAGAATGTAAAATTGCTTTTTCGACATTTTTTAATATTGGCTTGTACTTTATAAATACAGCAAATTTTTTATACAAATTTTAATTTGTTATTAAAAAACAATAAATCACTTTTTTATGTTTGAATTTCTTTATTTTTATATTATTCATTATTATAATTATTCCTTCATTGATTATTTGAATAATTTTTATTATTATTGTTGTTATTATTATATCTGTTATCTTGTCAATTTTGATTTCGGTTATTTGAAATTGTCAGATTTTCTAATTTTGTTGCCAAAACTACAAGTTATTGTAAAACTTGATTTAAGTTATTTTTCATGGGTTGTTGAATTACTGGAATATTCAATAGACTTGTTGTTGGTGTTATATCGATAGTATTTAAACCAGTAAATTGTTAATAGCTTGATTCATATAATTGAGCAATATGAATAGCATCATCTAGAGTAACTGATTGAGTTAGATTAACAAAGAATTTTATTTTTGGTTTTAATTCTTCAATAAACATCATTACTTTCAGATGTTCTGAATATCCATTATCTGAATCAATACAGCAAAGTAATTCTCTTACAGTAACAGAATATTGTTCTACTGTTTCAGTTGATAATTATTTTCATTGATTCAATTGTTGTTATCATTCATATATCTTATTAATAGTTCTAAATTTTTGTTTAAATTGATAGGTAAAGGAAGCTGCTAAATCTTCTAGATTGGTAGGATCATTTAAATTTCATTAAGTTGATCAATCTGCTACTAAGACTCTTTTATTAGCTAATTATATTCCAGCAGATTCTTTCAAATATGCATCAATAATTTATCACTTTTTAAGATCAGATATATTATTAGCTCGACTTGTATTTTCAAAGTCTTAGAGCCATCCAATAGGATCTTGAGTATTACTATAGAAGTCAATAATTTTACTTCTTCTCTTCCTTGATTATTACCAATGACAGTTACCAATTGATAAAGATTATTAATCAGATTATTGAATTGAGTGTAGTTTACTGCTATTTCTTCTTGTTCTTTTTTGATTCTTCGTTATCTTCTTCTAATGTTGGTAAAGGTGAATTATTTTGAATTACTATTTGATTTTCTGGTTTTTGTAATTCAATTAATTCTTCTCGAAGTTTTTGTTGTTTATGATAAGTTATTTTTTGTACAAGAAAATCTGTAGCTTCTTGTTGAAGATTATATAAGTATATTTGAATTTCTTGTTCACTTTGTTGAGAATATTGTTCTAGTATATCTCTAAGTTGATTTATTAATTCAATATTTGTATTTTTTATATAGATTATATTAAAAATATTCACAAGTTGATTTTTGATTTCTTTAAGTTATGTTCTGGTAAGATTTTCTTTTAAATCTACTTTGTCTTTTAAAGTTTCAAATTATCTATTAATTTTAATGATAATAAATTTGTTGGATCCAGTTTGAGTTAATAGTTGTTCATTCACAGAAAATTTTTTGGTAAATATTTGATCAAAAATTCTTTTATGCCACAAAGAAATCTTTCTTTCTTATATATCACAAATATATTTTACAAAGAAATTCTTTTTACTCAATATTCTTTAATCTTATGAATTTAATGTTTTTTTACTCAGTATTCTTTTATAATAGTACTTTATAACACTTTTGAGATTTCAATTCACAGAGAATTCTTTTACTAATAATTGTTCTTTTATAACAGAACTTTATAATGTTTCAAAATTTCAATTTACACAAGGGATTTAATAATTATTCTAATAGTATTTTCAAAATAATGCTTTTGAAATTTTGATCCACAAAGAAAGCATCAAAATTTTGTTACCATTTTGATAGAGCTTTGAAATACTCAAGGATATTTATAATATTCAAAGGGAAAACTTAAATATCTTAATAACAATTTACAGTCTTAATAATACTTTATGACTTTAGATTAAATATAAATTAAAGTATGATAAGTACTTATAAAAATCACTTAAAGGTTGGTAATAATTATATTTTTTTAACATAATAACTGAATTGTTAAAAAGAGTCCTCAAAATCTCAATGTCAAATATAATATATGTATTAAAAAATATCTTTAAATCTTTAAAGATCAAATATAAAATATTATCATCATTTGATATTTTAGATTACTTGTAAAATATTATGTGACATATTTTGATAATTATTAATATTTTCTTTTATAATTTTTCTATTTATAATTCTATTTTTAATTATTTAATTTATCTAATTTACACATAATTTATCAAAAATACCAATCAATTCTTTTTAATATCACATTATTTATTTTATTATAACATTATTGAATCTAAATTCATTCTATTTTAAATTAATTTCATTTAACATTAATTAATGTAGTGCTAATGCCACTCTAATTTTAATTGTATCACTTAGATTAAATTAGTATTACACTTATCATTTCTTGGTGTTACACTTTTTCCAAATTTATCTTATAACTGTTTTTAAGTAACCTCACTCATAATGTAGATCTGTATTGCATTTACATATATTTAAACAGATGTAATTTAACATAGAATAACAAGTATCTAGGTATCTAAGTAATAACTTTGAAAGTAATAAAAGTATAGAAGTTAACTAATACTTTTAATTAATCTTTTACTTATTGTTATTTTTGATTTATTATTTACTTAACTTTGACTTATCCAACTAGTGAAAGTCATCTTTTGTATTCTAATAAATTATTCACACTTTTGAATCATAAAATACTTACTCAATTAGTGGAAGTATAGAATCTATTTCTTTTTAATATTCTCTCCCAACCATCTAGTATCCAACCCTCTCAAGTATACACAGTCATTATTATTGCTCTTATACAATTCTTAATTAATTACTATAATTAGTTAATACCTTGCCTATCAACATAAGAACAGTAATAATACACTTCTCTTTGTAGATAATCAACAATGGAATATATATTTCAGTAGTTGAGATAGTTAAACATGCTAAAATATATTCATGAGAATTTTCATGCGAAACTTGATGAACTTGGTGTGCACCCTTCTTTGCAATAACTTTTTGAAGTCCAGAATTGAGAATAAAATCTGTCTCATCCATATTTCTAATATGATCAGCAGTAAGTGAATATTTTTCAATAATTTTCTGAAGCTTCTCAAAATGATCTTTCACTATAATAGGATTGGCTCTTTGTGCGCGTATCTCATTCAAGACTTGTAAAATATGAAATGAAAGCTCAGAATGGTCTCTTATAAAGTGTTCTCATTATGATTGACACAGTCTATTCTTATTAAAAGAGTGAGATTATTTTTTTTTATTGATGATTTCTATATATACTAATTTATATCTGATCTTGTTAATTCAAAACCAAGTCTTTGCATATTTAAGCAATAGCTGACAAGTTGTTGTTCTTTATGATCAGTTAAAACTTTGACAGGACTTGAATGATTAAGAGAGCCATTATTTTTAATAACACGTCTTAGGGTGACTTCAGAGAGACTGAATTTTTTCATAATACTTCTATTATTTTGGGATTTAGAATCAGTTGGAAAATTTTTAAGTGCTTGAAGAGCATTCATAATAGCATTATGCCACTTAGATCAATCATTATATGGTAGCATATTGATTTCAGTGTAAATTTAAAGGTAGATGATTCTGTTTATAAGATATGATTAAATTTTATTATATTATTAACCTATGAACACTTAAACAAATAAATTATTATTTTATTAGTCTCTAAAAGATCTGGCATAACAAATAACTAATGCAGAGAATTATATTGTTATCTAGGAGATCTATTAATAGTGATTGGCTGCGCAACTGAAGACTGTGTGAGATCAAATAAGTTCTTGTTACTGCTTTCTTGATTGTATTATATAGGTTAATTATTAACTTATCTTTTAATTAATTTGCATAGATGATTAGATTGCTAATGCTTGTTAATTTCTAAAGTCCTATACTGATATCTACAGATACTATTCATAAAAATGAATATAAGGAAGAAGAAAAGAGATAAATAATTCAGAATTTCTTTATCGTGTTTAGTTCTAACTTAAACATTTGCTTTTTCTAGTCAAAAACTTTAAACTATTCAATTAAATGTGTTAAACAATTCATTAATAATTCAATTTACAATATCTATTACTTTCTTCTGGATCAAAAGGACCTAATTATCAATCATTATTATAATTAACACTACGGGTATTTTATATATACTAACTACTTGGAGAAGAATTATATGCAATTAATTCTGTCTTTTTTTTATTGAGACTCTTGAGCCTGTTTATACATACTCATTTACATTATGAGACTTATTGTATTATAACTATACAAACTATTGTTTAAGAGTGAAAATTAAATATAATTAATTAAATATATTAAAGTGTATCATTTTAGTTACTATTTATTATCTGAATTTTGGATGTGATATCTTGACACCAAGTGAACAGAATCACACCAAACTAACACCATTCGATTTGTCTAGTCATGGCAAATCAAATAGTATTATTTTGGTGTGATTTTATTCACTTAGTGTTGAGATATCGAACCTGAAATTTACCATACATTAAAATTTTGATGTAAATTGTCAAACAACTTGGTGTATGACGTGATATTTCGACACCTAGTGATCCGAATTGCACCAAAATATTACCATTCGATTCGTATAGTCATGGTGAATCGAATGGTATTATTTTGGTGCAATTTGGATCACTAGATGTCAAGATATCGCATATTATTTTGACTGCGTCATAATATTCATATGCATTATAATATTCTCTTTTATCTTATATATATATATATAATATTCAAATAATAATATTTTTTTGTCAAACTTTTGAAGATTTTCTTATTAACAAAATCACAAATATCTCTGTTTTCAGTTGATAAACCTGTTCTTTAGACAATTATCAAGATTTTTCTCTTATTAAAGTATCATATTCCAGTATAATAAATAAAAAAAAAGCAAAGAGATCAGTTTATTTTGATTTTTTGTTTTGAAATAATAATATTAGTTTGAAATTAAAATATATTTCATTAATATTAACATTAACAATCACAATCTATTAAATTCATATTATTTTTTAAGCTGGAATTTTGTTTAGCATTAACGTTGAGACGAATTTGAATATAAGAAATCTGTAACATTAAAGTTGAATAGTAAATATCACGTGTAATCGAGAAAAAGAGTTAAAGATGTGACTTGGTTCACATGACTTTAGCCCGAATGGGTAAATCTTCGAGCATACTAAAATTCCGTTTTATATCGATATATAATGTCCCTGTCAATTGCAAGAACAAATGTAACACACAAATTTGACCAATCTAATTGCAAGATCATATGTAACGCAAAAATTGCAAATAACTCGAAATTTTACTATGACAACAGGCTTTCAACTTTTAAGTAAAAATGCTCAGCGCGAAATTTTAAATATAGTTGGAACTTTGAAAACTAACATTTTATCTAACAGAATTTGTAATGAAATTGATAATCAGTAACTTTAACCACCCTTTTGGTGAATTTTTTATCACATATTTACATTTGTCACAAGTTGTTTATACACTGTATTTGAATTATTACTGAGAATTTTCCAAAATAACAATTATTTCTCCAGGATTATATTAGAGGTAAAGTGTTTTAAAGGCTGACAAAAACGCGTCGTTTTTTATTTGTGGCTTGAGCCAATAAAAAAGCCAATGGCCCAAGTCAGTTTTCTATACTTGACTGCGCAATAAAGAAGCCATGTTCATGACTTGAATGTTAGGTCAATGGATACACGACTATTTTTTGGGCAAAATTATTGCTGGTAGAATTTGGAAATCCCAAATAATAAATAACGGGTATGTAGCATATCAATCAATAACTCCGTTTCTACTAATCACTTAGCTTTTTACATACACACTAACCCTACACTTTTTTCGCGTCGTTTTCGCGTGTTTTTCTTTTTTGTTGTGACTTCGCCACTTGCTTGATTCATATTAAGTTTTAGTTCCTGTGCGAGAAACTTTCAAACAAGCACAATAAATGTTCGCACCGAAAAAAGCTATTCACCCTTATAACATCTTTATTCAAGGCTGGTAGCCAAAGAGTCACGCATATAAAGAGAGAACCTTTGTTCCCTCAATAAACTTTCACTTAAATATTTTTATATTTCTATATTAAAGGACAACACGTTTTTAATTCTTTACACGTTCCTTACAAAATAACTTCCCTTTAACAGAATAATAACAAAAACGACGCATACTGTGCAATTGTTTTACGCAGTTAGATGAAGATAAACTAAATATCGAGGGAATCATGGCTTCCGCAGAACCAATGCTGTCTCTATTTAGCTACCCAAGTCCAGCCTCCCACAGTGGTCATATCCCACTTCCGACACAACACTTATCACCATTTTCTTTGAATAACAAATTCCAGCCGACCTCGCACAACACGACTGTATCATTCTCGGGCAATTATTATAATCCCAACAAATCGAGAGGGCTCTCGGAAACTTTTGGGAAAATAAAAAAATGCGAATTTAATAAAATGGAAGGTGAAAGAATTATTTCAACAACAATCACTTCATCTACTACCAAATTAGATAAGTCGGGTATAATCACACAACTCTTTTTAAACGATGATAGTTTTTCCACCAGATTATTTATCAATCCAATGTCTCCAAGTGAATTTTCATGGAGCCCAGCTTCTGAAAGTTCAGCCGAGGAAGAAATCGAATTAAACGAAGTTATCTTTAAATCATCCGCATCCTCATCGTCCTCCTCTGCTCTTGATGTACATCGAATATCCGCAAAAATGCTCCAATCATCAACAAAATTACCGCTTAATTCTAGATCGTCAATAAGAAGTTCATCAAGTCCTTTGCAAATTTCGTGTCCTCGGCGATCACAAAGATCAAAAAAGCCAAATAAACACGATCTTAAAGAAGAAATTTTAGGTCGACGACGTTCTTCTGGTCCAGCAACGCGTCTCAGAGGACATAAACACAGTGAAGACAATGATAAAGAGAAAGAATATTATGAGGCCCGAGCAGCTTCGATCCCAGAACTTGAAAGCTATTATCCTACTAAATCGAAAACCACAAATGCTACGCGTGTAGAAGTAAAAGCACTACCTTCCAAATACGAGGTACTAGGAAAATGGTCAACGTCACAACGAAAATCTTTTCTCGTAAATTATCTTAAATACGGAAAAGATTTCAAACATATTGGTTCGGTCTGCAGGAAATCCATGAAAGAGGTAGTAGAATTCTATTATTTGTTTAAGCATACGGACGACTTTCGCACAGCCAAATCAATGCGTACAGACGAAGATGCATATTACGCCAGATTAGTAAAGATAGAAAGTCAAGCACGGACGTTAAGAAAGACTGCATTGGTTGGAGGTAGCATAAATCATACACGAAAGGGAAAGAAGAAAAAAAAGACTTCACGTTATTGACTATATATATTCGCAGTTAATAGACAATCATTAGTACTTAATAAATACATTATACAGATGGAGATTTTTTGGAAATTATTAGATTTTAAATAATTTGTATTTATTTATATTATAATTATAATATCATTATCCTTACCCCTAACCTTTACGCCAAGACTTCGAAATATTTATTCTAACATTTATAGCCCGTCTTTTACAATCCAATAAACACACATAGATTTATTATTATAATTATTTTCTTGTTTAATATTATCCATCTTATAAAACTCGTAAATAATATTCATAAGTAATATAAAATGTAATATTGATGCGACAAATTCAAACAATTAGACTTGTGAATAAATGTAGTCACTAGGATTGATTTTGCATTATTATTTATACCCTCCTTTTTTTATTATCTATTATTTCACTATTTTCTTCTAATTCCCGTTTTTTCGGGCTTATCGATCCATTATTATCCTGTGCAGCAGTTGATTGTGATTCCTATATATTTTATCGAATAAATTATTTGTTATTATTTATTATTATTGTTATGATTAACATTTAAATATCAAGAAATCTCTTAAAATAATACTTCTTTATATTCTTCTGTATTATCTTCATCTTCGATTATATCTTTTCGCTTTGATGTTACACTCGATGAGGATGATGCTGCTGCTGCTGTACTCGTCGATGGTCCTGCTTCTTCCTCTTCTGATCCATACTCTTCCTCTAAATCGCTTTCTTCTTCTTCCTCAGCTTGATTTGGATCATAATCTTCGGCACTATCTTCTGCGGGAAGTTCCTAATTAACGAGTAAAAAGAATATTTGTGTGTGATCTTTTTATTGTTTATTTATTAATCATTATATTATCATAAATACCTGACCCATTAATGAAGCCAGATTTAATTGGTCCTCATCATAGTCACCGTCATCTGCCTCCTCCTCTTCCGCCTCATTTTGAGATTCTACTTCTTGAGGGAGAGCTACTCCCTTTCCTTTATCCAACGAAGCTTTTTCATTGGAAGGTTCGGAATCGGTTACTTCCTTTATTTTTTAAATAAAAAAAAGTTTATCACCGTGTAGAGATGCTAACTTTGTTATAACCACGATGTTATAAACTAACCAATTCTTCTACATCATCACTTTCGGACGCTTGCTCCTGAATTTTATGAAGAAATTATTTTTTTCAATTCTTCTCAAATGATAATAATACAACTAATCTTAATTTAAAACTTGCCAACCTCATTCGAATCAATAGTCTCAGCAGAAATTTGGGGGGCTTTACTTTTATTTGACTTTGAATAAATGGATTTATTGAGTGAATTTGCATAGCATACAAAAAATGAAATATTTCATAATTTTACCTTTGCCTGCTCGTCATTCGATTCTTCTTCGCTATCGCTTTGAGCAATTTCTTCCCCAGAAGCGTCCGCTTCTAATTCTTCTTCATTTTCCGAATCGCCTAAGTAAATTTATACTAGAAGATATAAATTCATATTGAAAATTTAACAATCATAAATGCTATGTTTTTAGCACCTGCTTGTCCATTTGATTGTCGGATAATTTCGTCGTCGTCATCTTCCTCCTCCTCTTCGTCACTTTCATCTTCTTCTGAGTCTACGTCTTGTCCCTCCCTTTGAATGTAGGAAAATAAGTTTTGCAAATCTTCTAATGAAATAATAGAAAATTAAATCCAATTACTGGTTTTGCCCATCAAGAGAATACAACTGAGGTAGAATTTTAAATATTTCCTCCCGATATCCTGTTTTTTTTTGTACAGGACATTCGACTAAATTCAGATGTTTTAAATTTGGCAGTGTTTTCTATTTAAAGGTTCAAAGATTATAATTTAATTTTAATCTATTAATTATACAAAAAAAACGATGCATTACATACCAATAGTTCAAGTGTCTTAGTATCGCTTATTTTATTATTACTTAAATCAAGGTGGTTAAGACTTTCAAGTTTAGCCATTGTTAGCGCTTCCAAACCTTCAGAAATTTTATTGTCACCAAGCGAGAGCTTTAAGTCAAAATAGTAGTAATTAAGCACACTAGAATATATTTTAAAAATGCGCAGCAAGTTTTAGGGTGCAAAAACGCGCCACCTTTTTGAGTCTTGGCAATATAGGGAAGCTTTCCAGCGAGTGTAAATTTACATTGCATAGTGACAGGGAAACAAGGTTTTTGAATTCTGATAGAGGTATAAAGTCTTTTTGACCTGGAGGCAGTTGACTTATATTTGAGATTGCGGGAATTTTCCGGTTATCGAGGAACAATTCCTCGACCGTTGTTGGATCTTCGAATTTAAGTTTTTTTTGTAAGGCTAGGTCGACCATGTTGTGACTTTTCTACAAGATACGGTTAAGACTGAAAAGTAATGTGAAAATACTCGGACAATTACACGCGTTTTTGCGAAGTTTTATTTATTTGAACCTTTTGGTGACCGCTGATTATAATCTATATGATGTGATCATTTGATAACCAAGTATATACCTCTATTAATTCTTAATCGTGAATCAAACATTACATAGCGCGTCTTAATCTACCATGTTTATTATGTTGGTTTAGATTTCATATTTATAATGAGAGATGTGTTAGACGAAACAGAACTCGTTTTTTGACTGCCGTTCTCTTCTTCAAAGCCAGAGATATTTTCAACAGATAATGTCTAAACGTTCAAACACGTCGCCTAAACAAAATAAAATGTATTTACACGGAATCAGTATGAGAGCTGATTCCTTTATTCACGACAATTTATTGTTTTACTATTTTTAGTGAATTATATTTATGGACGAAGATAATGTATGTAATAGATATATATATGTATACATTCAGACCCTGTTGTTATCAACACCCCGTAACTATTCACCCTCGTATATATCAACAAACTAGCACAGTCCCATGATGTTGATAACAGCGAGGGACGACTGTATAGGTGTAATTGCTAATGTCGTTCGTTAATCATGATAATGATAATATGTATGAAGAGAAAAATCAGAAGGTCCTTTATAAGAAATCGAGGGTTATTACATTAAGAAGTTTGTAATTTAAAGAAGATATGCTAAAAGACTAACACTAATAACAATGATTCCTCTTTCTTTCCAATTTATTCTACATGTGAATTATTCGGAAGGTTAGAATATTCTTTTACCGGTTCTTGGATTAGCTGCAATTGTGGTTGTGATAAAAAAAATTTTTTAAAACTACTGAAGTCATTATAGCTTTTAATCAAGCAACAGTTTCAAATTTCAATGAATTTATACTTCTGGCAGCACTTAAAACTGAAATCACATGACTTGTCACATTACAAAGGCTAATTTTTGCTAGAAGTCTACGAATAATGCTTAATCATGTGATCTTTTCCGGGAAAATTTTGAATCGATGTATTGATAATAATCGATTGATGCTTTAATAAATGAATGAAAATAAAAATTGATTTATTATAAAACTTGTTTTTAGTGTTCAAAAATTAATTACTTTTTTATATTTAATACAACCATCCAATTAATTATTAATTAATAATTAGTAATTCATTTATTTAATTACTATAAAAAAATAAAATAAATTTTATTACATGTATAATGAAGAATACTTAATATTTTGAAATTTGATAATTAAAACTTTTTGAATATAATATATTATTAAGAATATCTATTAAAATCTCTTCAAAATATTTTGACTAATTATTAATTAAAATTTTAGCAAAATTTCAATTATGATGAATTTCAAAATTTAATAGAGTTTTAATATTTTATTTACTAATAATTCATTATAATTATAATAAAATTTCGATAAATTACTAAAAAATTTTAGCAAATATTATCATTTTAATTAATTTTATAACTTTTAAATATATAATATGTCTTTTATATAACTAAAAATATTATAAGAAAAATACTAAATATTAGATAATTTTTAAAAAAGAGAATAATAATTAGACTTTACAATATTATAATCAGGTAAAAAATGGATAGAATATTTTTCTAATAAATAAAAATTATTAGATATTTAATATTGTTCTAATTAAATTACTAAATATAAATAACATATATTTATTTTTATAACTAGAATAAATTCAAAAATATTTTTTTAGCAAAAATAAATATAATTATAATTTGATACAAAAATTTAAATACAAAAATTTATTATTAATAAAAAAAGTTTTTACTTTTAAAATTAAAATATTTTTATTTATTGAATTTTTTATATAATAATTTATAGTTATTTTTTATAAATTTTATATATAATAGTTACCGTAAAGCGCTCTGTATAGTATCCCTCTTTGTATAAAATTTAAACCTCAATTTAACCTCAAGACTGTTAAACCAATAACTAAATTTCTTAAAAAATCGCATAGTGAAATCTAATTTAATTATTTACATAAAAAATAATTGAATTTACTAAAAAAAATTGAACCAAATTGTGATTCAAATTTTTACAAGAGGGGATATTATAAAGAACACTTTACGGTATTACAAATAATAAGAATTTAGTTTTTTAGTTACAATTTTATGAAAATTTATTTAAAACTTATAAAATTTTATATATATATAAATATAAAATCTAGAAAACAGGTTTGTTTAATAATATAAGTATATTTAAATTAATATAAATTTATATTAAAGATTATGAATTGGAATATTTAAATTAAGTAAAATAAAAAAATATTTTTACTAATTAATTAAGCAAATATTTTTAAAAAATATATTTTCATATTTTAAAGAATATATATATAAATTTTTAATTAAATTTATTTCATCATTATAAAACAATAACCAATTAAAAAGGTATACTTTTGCTAAATTTCTTAATAAAATATAATAGAAATAAAAATTAATTTTTTTATGTTTTATTAAGAAATTTAGCAAAATTATATCTTTTTAATTGGTTATTGTTTTATAATAATAAAATAAATTTAATTAAATTTATATATATATTCTTTAAAATATGAAAATATATTTTTTTAAAAATATTTACTTAATTAATTAGTAAAAATATTTTTTAGAATTTTTTCACTTAATTTTTAAATATTTCAATTTATAATCTTTAATATAAATTTATGTAAAATTTTATTAATTTAAGTATACTTGTCAGATAAATTTGTTTTCTAAATTTTATATTTATATATATAATTTTATAAATTTTAAATGAATTATATCTAAAAAAAACTAAATTCTCATTATTATAATAATTATTATAATAAAAAAAATCAAATTTTAAATTTTAATACCTAATTTTATTTTATATATATTAATATACTTGTATAATACAAATTTATAAAATTGTATATTTATTAAAACTTTATTTTTTTTTAAAAAAGTTTTGTTTTACCTAAAATTTTATTAAAAAATAATAAAATAATAAAAATTATTAGATTAAAATATATTTTATTTAATGTAAAAAAATTAATTAATAAATTTTATAATTATAATTAAAAAAGTTTTGCTCTTTTTTGATGTATTTATATTTTTGTACTAGATTATATTTTATAAATAATTTATAAACAAATAAAATATTAATAATTCTTTTTATTAAATCAAAAAATAAATATAATTTTGTAATTAAAATGAGACATTATAAACTAATAAATAACAATGAATATAATTTTGTAATTAAACTAAGAAATTATAAACAAAATCACAAAACTAGTAATAATAAAGATTAATTTATTAGAGATTAATTTAAATCTAAATAATATTATATGAAGAATATTAAATATTAGATAATTTTTATTTATTAAAAAATATTCTATTTATCTTAAAATAAGTCATATTATATCATAATCTTGTAAAATTTGATAATTCTTTATCTCATTCTTTCCTTAAGAATTATCTTTGGTGCTTATTTATTTATTTATTAGCTTTTTCAAAGAACTTGATTATTGAAAAACTTGATTAATAAAAATCCTAATGATTTTTTAAGCTAAAATACATGGTTCTTTTATAAATATTTGATGAATATTAAACTATCAATCAAATTACAAAATAAAATAATCATTAAAATGATTATTGAAATAATTGTTGAAATAATTATTGAGATGATCACTAATTAATTATTCAATAAAAATATAATAAAAGAATATGATTGTCCAATAAGAATTTGATATTATTGTTCACTCGTTATTCATTCATTTATTGTGGCGGATTAACATGAAACCAGATTAAAACGAAACAGAGGGGGATGTTTAAATAATCATAGGTCAATATATTACAGATTTTAATTCTACACTCTATGCTCTAACCTAACCCTAACCCTTCTCTGAAATTTTTATCCCATAAAAAAAGATACAAATTTTATTTTGATTTGATTTTATTATAATTTGATTTCATTTTAATCTGGTTTCGTTTTAATCTGTCACATTTATTGTATGTTAGCGTTATCAATAAAATATTCCAAAAATGTGTAATCATATAGAATTGCCCTTTTTAAATTATACGCAATTCTTGTTTACCATGAAATGCCAACCACCATTTCCGTTCGGAAATCACATATTCCTTCAAATTAATATCAAGTCTTCCGTATGTTGTTTTACGAAATTGGAAAAATTTGATTGGTCAACAAATTAAATTTTCGGAACGGACCAGAACAGGGTTAATAGGCATCGAAATAAAGGCGGCACATTGTGCTTCGTCTGTCCCTACATTACAAATCGTGTTCGGTTATTCTTTGGTGGTGAATAGAGCTTAGCGCGGGGATTAAATCAAGAGTGAATCTTGGAGAAATAAATATGGAACAGTATTTGCGTGTATTAAACAAAGATTGACAACACAAATCATTATAATGATGCCCAGGTAAGTCTTTTACTTTGCGTTGGATGCTCTTTTAGCGGTCACAGAATCAATATCACGATGTCGAGATTGGTATCACGGGGATCGACTTGTGGAGTGACAGATTTCACTTTTATTATGAAACTGGATTATGTCAATCATATAATTTGCTTCCTGAAATAAATACAGATTATTTGATATTAAATTACTTAGAAAAAAAGTTATTTAAATATAATTCACGATTTTAGCATTTCTTAATCGCTTTACTTGAATCTAAAAAATCTTTAAATTTACCAACAAACCGATGTTCTAATAGCCGATATTTTTAAATTTCTATTTGAACTATTTTTTGTAGAAAAATATAATAAGAATTAATACATTAAATACGGTATTGATCATCTTGCGAACGCTCTTTTGACTTTTGACATGTTTGACGTTTGTTCTTTCCCGACATGTTCTAATGTTATTTTTTATTGATCAGGATTGGTTTATTTGTAAATCCACCAGTGAAGTCACATGTATTAAGAATTATGTGGTAATTATCTCGAGTTTTAAGTTGAATTGATTTCTTGTTCGTACCACTTTAATGACGAGTATTCCTCTTTTCAATATTCTTGAAATATCCAAGAATCACATCCATCACATCCGTCAAATACTCATCGTCATTTAAATCTGGTCTGTTTCCTGCGTCAACGAACAACGAAAAGTCAGGCCCATACTCTTCGAAATATTGATGTTCTGGTATATCTTCTTGAATCGATATACCACCGTCTATCAATAAACTTGTCATGTACGCGTTACATCTAGCAACGTTTGCATGATTATATCCACCTAAAACGAAACATCATGATGATAGTTCGATAATAAAAAAACCAAAAAATGGATTTTTGGAAAGAAAATATAAAAAAAATCAAATTACCACCGCCCAAGAAAATTGTTGGCTTATTCCAACTAGCAATTCCACGAACACATTGACCAAAACTTTGTATATCCAAGTTCCATTCACGCGCCGGATCACCAGTTAAGCCTAATCAATAGGCAATGGTTTATTAAATTATACATTCTCATAAAAAACAAATTGTGTTCTACTGATACTTCACCATCACAACCACATTGTACTACAATCGCATCCGGTTGAAATGTATTATACGCATGCCCTAAGACGTGTTCAGTTATTTGTAGAAATCGCGCACCTCTCAATCCCCTTCGAAGTGGAACATTTACTGTGTGATACAGGCCTTTGCCTTGTCCGATATCAGTTAATGCACCACTTCCTTATCTCGAAATGTAAAAAATAAGAACGTGTCTCTTGTTATACAATATTCAATAGAATGAATTTTTTACCAGGATAAAATCCTCTCGCGTAATTATGAAAAGAAATTGTCATTACTTTATCTGTGTAGAGAAACGCGCTTTCCACACCTAAATAAATTAAGGAAAAACAGATAAACCATTTTTTCCCATTGATCTTTAACTCTGTATATGAATATAAATGATAAATACCGTCCGAATGATGTAAATCTAAATCAATATACAAAACTTTATCAAACTTGCGGCGTAACTCGATAATCCCAAGCACGATATCATTTACATAGCAGAATCCTTGACATTCTGATTTTTTCGCATGATGCCTATTTTAATTAATAAAATTATGAGATTGTGAATCAATGATTTTTTTAATATTAAATCAATAAAGGTAAAGGTTATTACTAGCCTTCCGCCATCCCAATGAATCGCTATGTCGACTTGTCCGTTAATAACAGCACGAGCCGCTGCAATAGTAGAACCAGCAACGAATCTAACATAATCGCTTAATCCTATAAAGGTTGGGCAATCCTTTGACCACAAAAATAAACATAAGATGTAACATCGTAATTGGTTTAAATTAAATAGTATATAGCGAATTCTTATATACATGTTCTAATCCATATTCTTCCAGTAGCTCTGTAAATGATGTCGAAGAATTCTCAATATCTTCAAAGTCACTCTCTGTTTCAATTTCTCGATCTTCTTCATCGTTATTATTCATTATTGAAGAATCATAATTGATATGATGAAAAACGTTTAAATCCTCATTTTCATCTTCACTTCGTTGTCTTCTTAACCCTTCTCTTCTATCATCATCAAAGACACGATTGCCTTTCTTTTGATTCTCTGCATTCAATAGAAAATCTACGGATTATACAAGAAATTTTTAATCAAAAAATGTTAACTAAAACTTCATTAATTTTGACAAATCTTACCGATGAAATCTTGAGAATGAAATTTTGTAAGATCTTGCGGGGTGGCAGCATATGGTTTAATTATCCTACAAGAATCTCAGATCAATTATTCAAACTATATTATCAATCTATTTCCTTAAAAATTACCTAACTTTCGCAAAGAGTCCATACGAATGAACAAGAGAATGTGTTAAAAACGACTATTTTTAATTTGTTTGTCACTTTTTTAATTCGTAATAAATTTCATTAAATAATTGCTGATATATGTAAATTTATACTCTATTTCGGTTCGCAGGTAATAATGCGGCAACTTTAGAATATTCATTAGAAAATACATAGCCCACTTGGCGACCTTGTAAATATTGAGAAGTCATTTTTAGAATTTTAATTCACGTGTCTTGAAGACGCGACGCGTTTTTGATTTTCGATATACGTACATATATTAATAAAATTAATTATATATCGTTAAGTATCATATAGACCTCCGTGTATTTCTGAATATCCCATAAACATCATGAAAAATCTGGGATTTCTTAACCAACATGCAAATCTGCATTAACGTCATTGCAAATATTTTGCGATTGTAAAATTCCAAGGTGCCCAATCCCACTGTTTTATTGACTTATTCTAGTAATAGTTATAATAAATATCGATATACCGTAGAGCATTGCATATAGTATCCCCAATGAAACCGTGAATAATACCAATACTACTCAATTTCAAAAACAAATATATCTCCGATACTATATGCAGTGCTCTATTAGTTATTAATTAGTAATGACGGAGATTTTCACCGAATTAACTTTTCTACTCTTAAGATTAAAAACAAATTAATTAGAAATACAAAAAATTGTATCCGAGGAAAAACATTGTTCAGTTATCAATAATCTGCTAATTTCAGTGACCTCCCAACTCTTTTCTTTTCTTCCTTATGGTGTTCAAGTAATTCTTCAATACCACCACCAACATTAAAAGGACCATAACCTGATGGCGTTCTCATAATTCCATTATTCAATATATTTTCATCATTTAATATATCCCGCGGCGATAAGACAGGTGTTTGTCGTTCGGATATCAACTGCAATTGCACATCAGATAAATAATTTTCGAGTGTTTGGAGGAAACGACGCGTTTGACGATGTTTTGAGGAAGCGCAAAACTTAATTTGGAAAAAATGCAATATATAATTATATTTTCGATAATTATGCATAAATCAAAAGTGTTTATAATATTTACCGCGATTCCTTCATCTTTTATAATATAACCAATCCCAAATCCATCGGAAACAACTGGACCAAATCCAAATAATCTGAGTGCGGGGTTACCGCAGTTACTCGTGCTTATTACAGTGTGATTTAACGTCTGCCATCCGGAATCCTTAAAGATAAGTGGCAGTTTCTCTTCATCTAAATTTGTGTTGCGCATTTCTCTTTGCCAAACACATTGTAATGCGTATAAATGTCTATCTTGTCCTAACCCTTTCGAACACATTTTTGTCAAATTCACATGAGTGTGAATGGCCTTTCGTAAAGCTGTCATTTTATCTTCTCGAGAAGCATCTGCTGACCAAAACAATTTTACAAACTCAGCTGAATTTGTAGTAACTGATCTAATTGCTTCAGTTCGCCCATGAAGGAAAGATTTAGTCATTGCCGGTTCATAAGTACATTCAATCGACCCGTAGAGACCATAGTAAGCTGCTTGAAAGGCCATCTAGAATAATATGATAATCATCAATTATCACAAAAGAAGACATAGATATTTAGATGATGATGATGAAGATGATGATGAGGATGATTGTAATACTCACTTGTACAAACGCATCCGGACTCAATTGACAACTTGTAATAAAGCTTTTACCGTATTTATCAAATTCCAAGACTTTAATTTCATTCTGCAAGATCAAATCACTTAACCTAGTCTCAGCGAATCTGATACCTGTACAGACTTCAGGGATAAGAACCCACTCAAGCTTCTTTGGAGTAGTGTCAGTTTTGTTAGTTGGTTTTTGTTTATGATTTGAAGAGCGAAGTAAAGGTTTCATTTGATGATTTATGGTTTGTGCAAAGCGAAGTATTGTGTCGGTGTAAATATCCGATACAAATCGAAGGACTGTATGACCATCAACGCCTAGTCGTAGGGAAAAAAATAAATTTAAAGGTAAATATATATACATATAGAGCATAATAATATATAAACTGAACGTTTACCTGTATGTTCAAAATTCACTCTTGAATTAGGTGGAATAAATTCGTGAATTAGTTGGATCAGTTGTGTTAAAATAAATATAACTCATATATTGTACTCACCCAGCAGATCCGTTTTCGCATACAATGATCTGTAATTTATCATACCATCGATTAGCACAAGTTCCAACTTGCACTGCTTGCTGGACATCATATGAACCACATAACATATTGTTAGCAACATCATCCCCAGAAGTAGGTGAAACCTCATCCAAGCATACGACAAACAATGCCGAATCAAGAACTTTTAAAGAATCTTTATTATTTTCAGAATTTTCTAGAATTTTTCTTAGACCAGCCCATGTTTTACGATTTTCTGTAGACAAAATGCCAACAGAATGTTTGGCGACTTCGATTACAGACATTGCCTGTGCGTCCTGTTTAATAGCCCTTAAATTTGCAACAAGTGTTTTTTCCGTGATTGCGACTTCATTATCTTCATCTAAGACATCAAACCAATAAAATTGACTTCTGCATATTACAACAATATGTTGGGAATTTTGATCGGTATCCATTTTACATCCATCCTCGGTTGGAAGACGCGCAGTGCCAAATAAACGTTGGAATTGTGACATACAAAGGTGTGTACCCCTAAATACATCCGGTTCGAGTGTTTCTGATCTCAAAGCTTGAACGAATTTTAGGGAAGATATAATTAAGGAGGCAGCACGAACAACTTGGTTATTTCTTGCGGGTGTGGGATCATCTTCCAACACAAAAAACGGATTCAAATTTAAGACCACCGAATCTGAGTAGTTGAGATAAGAGTCGTACCAGAATTCTTCGATATAACTGGATTTATTGTCAGCATATCTTTTTAATTTCTTTTGAAGTTCAGGACCTTCATTTTGAAGAAATTGTTGAACTGTTGCCTTGGTCTCTTCATGCTGCTCAAGAGTCTAGAACAAAATAAACAAAATTCAATAATTACTACGTGTCATCTTCTATGACACTCGTATCATAAAAGTATTTACCACTAATATGTTCAAAACATATCGATTTATTTCTTTACAACATATTAAATGGTATTAATTTAGTCAATTAACAAATTAGATAGAATATAGACATCCGCATTTTACCTGAAGAGGCTTGACTGCTACTAAATATTTTTCTAGGGTCTCTTCCAAAGGGGGTATAGGCAATTTTGGAAGTTTATCTTGATGCTGATAAGTTTTTCCGGAATGCATCCCATTAGACGTTATCGACTCGTTCGTAGAATTCATTATAAAGAAATTTTTTTTAAGATAAAGAATTTTATCATAAAGGAATTGTTTTATGATGTCGATATATAAAGATAAATTTAATCACAAATCTACTGATCATCTTGTACCGACCAGTACGAATAAATAAATAGATTGAATTGCAGATTCATGAACCAATCAATACAAAACCAAATTTATAATTCAGATAATTCAAAATTCATATTCTCACGAGAATTAATCACCAGTGCGATATATCGCCTTTTATAGAAAAGGTTCATTTTGATTTTCACGCATCATAGCTTTTTCTTGCTCTCTTTCGACTAATATTACCATCTTGAAAATCCGATTCTTGCTTTTATCATGGCCAATATGTCGTTAAATGACTTAAATTCTGACATTAAAGAATATATTTTGGGAAAGTTTGCAGAAGACGACTCAGGGCCATATATGTTTCACTCTTTTTTGCTTTTAAATCGTGAGGTGAGCATTTCTTCCCGTATTTGCATATTTTTAGAACAGAATTTCATTAATTAACCATATTTATTCTTTGCCCTTTTTCGTAGTGGAGTGAAATAGCGGTCAAATTTCTGTACAAAGATACTTGGATATTCATCAAACGAATATCGAACGAAAAATTACGTGCTAAACAATTAATTGATACATACTTGAATTGTCTACCTGATAGTGGAATTACTACGAAATATGATTATATTGAAAAGGCAAGGAACCTACACATTCCTGATTTATACGAATGCGTAATTTACTGGGAAGAAGAAACACAATTTGAAGATGATCAGTTGCGGGGATATGACCAATCACGGATCAAAAATATATTTTTCAAGTTATTTAGAGCATTCATCCAAAGATCTAATTTAAAAAAATGTACATTTGCAAAATCATCACTAGAGGCGCCACATAATCCACCTATTAACGATACTCACCTTCACGAAATCGCAACACGACTTCATGCTCGTAATGTTCAATTGAACTATTTAAATTTAGGCTATTTTCCCTGTACTGATGATGCTCTTCTATACTTGACTGGAAACATTACTTATCTCAAAACTTTTAAAGTGAAAATGCAAACATGCAGTGATCAGGCATTAGCTAGATTTTTGAGAACGCAACGAGCATTAACAAAATTGAAAATTCGCTCTGGAGATAATATCTCTGAAACAATATCTGCGCTATCCAGTTTATCAGGGACACTCGTAAAACTTCGAATACTAGATTGTAATTTGGAAACTCACAAAAGACCGTTTACGAGCATCGCAACTTGTACTGGGCTACGATCACTATATATGTATGGTACTAAATTTTCGCGTGAAGTTTCTACTTCAGATTTATTGATGCCTATTGCCAGAAACTGTACATTTCATAATGTTGATTTTACTGGGACTATCCTTCCTGGTGATGTTCTTGCTAGTATTGCTATTAATTCTTCGTCAACATTACGTCGAGTATTTGTTAAGCGTCCAAGCGAACAATTTTCACAGTTGGAAGATGATGAATTTGCAGTCGGTATTAATGCATTGGCGGATCACGCAAAGAATCTAACCGATTTTGCGTGTGACATTTTGCCAGAAGAAACGACCGCATTACTTAATCTCCTAAATTCGATTGGGCATTCACTTGAACGATTAGAAATTGGTTCGCCGGCCTTAATTTCTCGAGAATCTTCGGATTTAATTCGTGCAATCGCTCGAAACTGTTCATCACTGACAACTTTGGATGTATCCTACTTTAGTTTTTCGAAAGAAGCATTCGAAGAATTGATTCGTGGAACCCGAATCCAGAATTTAGATTTGCGTAAAACTCATTCAATCGATGACGCTTTGCTAAAAATCATGAAGGAGGTATGGGATGGTACTTTGCAATGTTTGATTATTTCTGAATGTGAAAATGTTAGCGAAAATGCGATTAGTGATTTAGATTGGGTTGAAGATGTTGTAACTGATATAACAGAAAGACGAGTCTTAGACGAAGAGATTTAATTCGATTTATTATTTATTTATTTATTTATTTTACATTCTAAATTTTCGAGTCTTGTTTAATTCCTTTATTAATTTCTTTATGAATTTAATTTTCCTCAAGATTCTGTTATTATAATAATATATATGTTGATTATTTGTGTACATATTTCGGTTTCTTTATAACAAATCAACCTCCACTGTCTTAATCGAATCCTACCAAAAAATAGAATATCCCTATGATGAATAAAGAAGTTAGAAAAGTAGTCCTTGATAATTGTGCGCCCTTTGATTCGGGCGAGTAGAGGCTAGTAAAGACATTTCTTCTATTATCTTTCTAATAAAATAATTTAACGTCAACAAATCTACCAAACGATCGTTCAAAATAATGCGTGCCTAAAGGGAAAATACATTTCTCAAGATTTCGAGTAATTTTTTGAAATTCCTGTTATACTAAGATTATTTTAATATAAAAGGATGAAACAGATCTGAACAAAGTATAAAACGTTTATCACTATGGATGAGTTATTTGATTTTGACAAGAAACCTATTGACGGGGGGTTTGGTAACATTCCAGAGGGAAGCTTACTCAAAGAAGCGAACAAAGTTCCCCTGTTCATGACTGAATTACCCGAAGAAGAAAATGATACTCTTGCTGCGTTACAGTCTTTGCTTTACGATGGAACACCTGAAGGTTTCGCTTATTCCTTTTGTGTGCCTTACCTTTGTCCTTTATGATTTAGTAATCTCTTTTGTATTTTATATTCATCAGAGGTTGCGGAAAACTTTAAAAATCAAGGAAATGAATGCTTTAAGGCTGGTAAAACAAAATATCAGGATGCCATTGCTTTCTATTCTAAGGCAATAGATACAACTTGTAAAGACGAAAAGATTATTGAAGCATGTTTGACAAATAGAGCCGCTGTCAATCTAGAATTACGTGAGTCGTTGTCTTAATTATATATGGCGAATTTAGTCTTACGAGGAAAAACACGCGTCTGACATATAAGACTAGATGGCCTTCATTAATATTTACAGAAAACTATCGAAAGGTGCTGATGGATTGCGCCAAGGCTTTAAAGATCAACCCGAAAAACGTCAAGGCATTATTTAGATCAGCCAAAGCTTTGTATATGCTTGATAAAATCGACCAGGCATTAGATTGTTGTAATCTTGGTTTGGAGGTATTTTTTTATCGAAGCTTATGCACAATAATCCATTTCCTTTTTTTAATTTTGTTATTATAAATGACAGATTGAACCCAAAAATAAATATTTTCAATTGGAGAAACAAAAATGTATACGACAAAAAGAATATCTAAACAAAAAGAAGCGAGAAAAGGAAGCAAGAGCGCGTCAAGAGCTTGAAAGAAAGAAAGCCTTGGAAAATGCGATAAAAGTAGATATCATAAGGATTGTGACAGATATTACGTAATATCCTTAGGTGGGGAGGGGGTACTGACTGTGTCTTATGTCTTATGTAATATATAAGTCACATGCTTCAAATATCTTACCTGGGGGCGGGCTCTAAAGTAAACTTATATTACGTAATATATGCCACAGCCCTAACAATTTTGTAATTAGAAGCATATTCGCTGATACATTATTTTGATCAATAGGAACGTAACATTCAAATGGAAACTACTTCCGATGCGCCAGATTCTCAAAATTCCGTTTTTCTAGATACCGAAGCTCAACAACTTGTTTGGCCGGTATTTTTATTATATCCAGAATATAAGGAATCAGATTTCATAGCACAATTCAATGAGGAGCATACATTTTTGGATCATTTAGAGATGATATTTGAACATTGCGCTCCATGGGACATGGAAAGTAAGTACACTCCAAAGAACGTGGATATTTATTTTGAGTCTGTGTCACAAGAATTCGGTGCGAAACCGACATTGATAAAGGTTGGACGGAAAATTCCCCTTAAAGAAGTGTTATCCCATCGAAAATATGTAGTTAGAAATGGAATACCTAGTTTCATAATACTACCGAAGAATGCACCATTCACTGAGAGTTTTTTGAAAAAATATAAATAAAGATTTTACGAATTCAATTTTTATGATGGCATGATCAAATTTTTCGGCAAATATCACTGAAATCAGATCGTTTATTTGATAATCTTTATTTTAATTTAAGGATGTGCTATATTTATTAATGGTTAGTAATAATATATTTGTACTTTTTTTGATTACTGATTTCGGAAGTTGCTGGGTGAATTAAATAATAAAAGAAAAACCATAATATAAAATAACGAAGAAAAAATAACTATAAATTTTATCCACACTCAAAATATAAAAAATAGGACACAAATAATATGAATGCAAATAAATTTTTTGCCCTATGTAAAATCAAGTGTATTTTCAAATAGCCAGCCACACCCAACCCATTCTTGTAATACAACCCAATATATAGTTCCCTCTCATTTACATTAATATGATACATTATTTAAACAACCCATTGTTCATGAACTCTATTGGCACAGATAATGATAGCCTGCTGGCATTATTTTGGCCCTTAGATAATCTTATCAATTTCCATTACGCGAAAAAATGAGTGTTTTGTTTGCTCGCTTCGTGTACTGGCATTTCACTCAATTTATATTCATTCAATTCCTGCTTGATTCTTTGCGCTAGCATTGGTGTTAATTTATTGCAAGTCGTCTGATCACCACTACGATCGTAATCTTCTTTTGTCCAAGTATCATGGATAAATATAGTTGAAGAGAATTGCAGTCGTTTAAGAGATGGTGTGGAAGGTGAGGGAGTGACTTCGGTATCTCGAACAGCGCCAAGTGATGGTACAGAATGAGATGCTTGGGAAAGATGTTTTGAATATGGATTATTTTGGGGTTGGGAATCGTAGGTTTCAGGTGAGTTTGTGAAAGTATTGTTATTTTTGCTGCTGGTATTCTTTATGATCGAAGTAGGAGTACTATAACGTTTCAAAGCAGTCTTATGTTTTGATGGTGGAGGGAGGGAGAATGGTCGGTAAGATTGTATATTATCTTCGTGATCTTCATGAACATCACTGTAAGCTTCATTATTAATATTGTCTGATGGAAATTCGGGTGAATTAAAAAATTGCTGTTTATTCGATTGTTGTATTTGCTGAAGCTGATGCAACTGCTGAGGTTCCGGACTATAATGATATACGAACGGCATCGAGGAAGACCTTGGTGGTATGACACTTCCTACTCCTGCAACTCCTCCTATCTCTATTTATTGTGTCGATAATAAACATCAAATCAAAATTAGACAATGAAAAAATCGAAATCATAAAATATTTAGATAAATAATAATTACCTTGATTTTTTATTCCAATTTCATCAAAATCATCTTTGGTAACTGTTTCCGCATTAGAAAAAGAAACATCCTTTAAATCATCGGAAATACGTTTCTTCTTTCGTTCATCGTGTCTCTTTTTTCTGCGTTGCTGTTCTGATGACGATGACGACGATGTATTCTTTTGTTGTGTATTTTTATCTTGCTCTGATGATTCTTTTTCTGGCTTTTTGTCATTTTTGAATAAAGATGAAATGTCAATAAAAGAGCGACGCCTATTAGATGAAGCTGGCGCAGTATTAAATCTACGTCTTACACCATTATTATGCTTGAAATTGCTACCACTGTCGCCATTTGCAGGCGAAATTGATGAAAGCTGAGATCGATCAGAATCAATGTCATTCCGATTGTTATTATAAGAAGAGCGATTACTATTACTGCTGCTATTCCTGTTTTTCTTATTGTCATAAATCACGCCGTCACTTCGACGCCTATCAGCTTTTGAAGTGGAGTTTGATCCGTTCTTGTGATTAGATGAATTGGACGAAAAATTATTATTATTATTATTATTATTGATGTTGTTGTTAATCTTGTTATAATTATTATTACTATTATAATTGTTGCTATTGTTACCATCTCTTCGCAGATTGTTAAAGCTGAGAACCCGTCGAATTCGATTGGTAATTGACATTTGGTCTTTATCTTTGAACATTGATTTTCTTAAATCGACTGGAGATCCACGAATGGAACGATTTGGATTTGAAGATAATCTTTGTTCATCTATTTGTTTCATAGAAAGATCAGAATTAACTTCTTTTCCATTGCTGCCATTATTATTGTTGTTATTGTTATTGTTATTGTTACTATTAACATTCTTTATATTATCAACAGATCTTCCTCGACTATGATTTTTATTACTTAGAGATTGTGTACGTTGTTTCGATAATGATTGTTGTGTTTGCTGCTGTTGGTCTTTTATACGATTTTTTTCTCCGTCAATTCCAACAACCTCAGTTTCCACCAATTGTTGTTGTGGAGCAGCAGCCCTTGTAATAATTTCCGTTTTTTGTGATATTGCTTCGATTTTTTGTGGTCCTATATAAATCTCTTCATAAATTTGTGGTTTTTGAATTTCTGGGAATCGTCGAGTTGGCATTGATTGATGTCTATTATTATTAGGACGAATGTGATTTTTATCATTATGATCGTTATAGCTAGAAGCCCTCCGCCGTATTTTATTATTGTTATTACGTGGCTGAATATCGCTACTATTATACATGCTATGCCGGCTAGCAAGGCTAATATGATTACCACCATTAGAAGCTCTATCACGTTGCATTGCAGTCTGTTTTCCAGTACTCGCTTCAGTTGTGGTTGTGGTTTTAGTCTGTTGTGCAACAGTATTTTCATATATTGAAAGACGGCGTGGCGGTAGAAAATTCACCAACGAGACATTTTCGTCATCGTATACTAGGGTGGCTAATTTTCCCTGGGTTGGGTCGCTTTGGTAATTAGCTACGGACACTGCCATTTAATAGTCTAATAAAGTAGTGATTTTTTGATATATGCGCACGTACTAGTTTCTAAATATACAAAGTTATTATAATTACTATTAGTTTATTATTAAGTTATCTATTAATGTACAGTAATATAAATATAAATATAAAGAAAAGAAAAAGAAACCGCGAGATGGGGGAAGAATAGATTAGTTGAATTGGAAGAATGTAAAGTTACAGCCAAATAGAATATAAAAAAGTTCTGTCTCTATTATTATCATGTATTATCAGATATTATATTTTAAAAAGTTAAATTATAAGTATGAACTTTTGGGAAATAAATTAAGATAAATAATTTTGAGTCGTGTTCGCTAAAAATAAGCGAAATGGATAAAAAGATGTCGGGAAAAATAAATGAAAAAAAAGGAAAGGAGATAGGATTTGATTACTGGGTTATAATAGGGAATGTGGGGGAACTTAAAAAAAAAAAGGATGTGGTCTGGATATGATGATGATGATGTTACAATGTTAGTTGCCAAGTTCGATTTGACGCCTGCTAACCATCAATATTAACAATTTCAGAACGAAAAAGAAGAAAAGTCTCAAGAATTATTGTATTAGAATAATTTTTATTGCTGCTTTATTGCTTTACGTTTATTATTAATTTTATTATTATTATTATTTGTAGATGCTACAGTGTTTATTATTATGAAGATAGACACAATAGCATTGAAAATTATTAAAATTCCTCTAGGAGGGAACCTACTTATTAATGAACAGAGGTTATCTCGCATAAATGCAGTTTTTGTGTGTGTGTACTTTTGTACATTATCGTCTTATGAGCAAATAATTACGTTATTGAATGCGAACGAACAGTCGAGCGATAGATAACTTTTAGTTTCTCATCCTAAAATTAACGTTAAGAATGATCGTGATCACAGACCTTATCATTGGAATAATGTAATCTTTGTCTTTTTTCCTTCTTTCTTGTTTCTCTTATTCTTTGACAACCAGGGATGTACGGTGGTGTGTAACTTTAGTAATTAAACTGCATGCTGTGCAAAAATGATAATGTGTGTAACTCTCACAATAAAACTTATTTTGTTTCCATTTTAGTTTGGATCTGGCGTAGAATTTGGATATATATTAACGTTAAGTCTATAGATAGGGAAATTGTGATCCATTTTCAGTTGCTCAGTTGATGATCCCTTTTAAATGGTAATCGCTTTTTTGCTTTTCATTTCGATTTGTAATATTATCAAATTAGGTTTAATTTAACTCAAACTCTCATAAAGTTCCGTTTTTCGCTTTATACCTTCAAGATAATTTTTAATAACTTATATCTTCGAATTATTTCATCATACGCGATCTTTATGAAATGTTTGTGTACAAACAAACTAATTTGTCATTGTTTTCGCAACTTTATAATTATTTGGGAAATAGTTAGATCCTCCCGTGCCCAAAATTGAATGAGTAGTTGACGGTCAAAATAAAATAATGCCAAAATTTCAAAACAGAAACGACATATGCGCCGAAGGACTTTAATCTGGCACAAATCCGACCAAAATGGAGAAGGAAGATCACGCCAGTTTTGCATATTAAATGTTACACGAAAATCTTCTAATAAACTATAAATAAATTTGATCTACATAAAGCATCAATACCCCATTGTCTCGTCGATCTCGTTTTTTCCAATGTAAAGGAAAAAAATTTATCCGATTCTTTAATTCCAAAGACATGGCCTCTTGCATAGGTAGGAGATGCGTGGTGTTTTTTCCGGATAGACTGATTCAATTAAGATTACAAATAATTAAATTATTTCCATTACAAGAAATCTAATCCAGTTATATTACGTTTGGAAAAATATAAATAAAAATATTTTATCGATCTCTTTTAGATGGACAATCATATATATGTCTTAGTTGAATGCAAGCTATAAAGTGATTATTATTCCTTTCCTAAATACTTTTTTGCAATAACTCGAACACGATTATCGAAAGCAGGGGAAGTTATCGGTAAATTGAGTTCATAGAATGGATTCAACAAGACCTGTAGGATAATTACATTGTTAATATCAACATCATCAATAAAATTCAAGCTTCGCAATAATTTCATATGCGAAAAATACCTTAATGTACAGTTCATAGCACTCGCTAAAAAAATTCCGTATAACATCTTCACTCTTTGTTTCATGTAATAACATAAATTTAATATCTTATTTGTAATGTTTGTAAATTTAATTCATAATATCGCAAATCCATTTAAAAAGAAATCACGATTGGATCTTATAAAAAAGGATACTTCCAGCAGTTACATGCGCTGAAACATGCCATTCATTGAATTTATCTACGGACTTGAGATACCTTTAATAATAAGTGATTATTAATGAACGCAAAAGAAAAATCGAAGAATTCATATAAAATTATTTCTTTTTATTACATTGTATTCGTATTCCATTGCATCTCTTCAACAACATCTAATGCAGAATGAACAATAAATTGATTCAAGTGACGATGCTCATCCTTCTACTAATATTTTATCAGAGATAAATAAATAAATATATAATTAATTAATTAATTAATTAATTAATTAGCAAAAATTGTTTTCTATCTTTCAAGAGGAAAATTACTTTTAATAATAAATATATTGATTCACTTTCATTAAATTAAAATACAAAACCTTTACAATCGCTTCTCCGCCTCCTTTTGAGGAAGACCCGAATTCTGCTTCATAAATAGGATTATCTTTGGTGCCTACTATTACAAAATAAAAAGACATGATATTTTGATAGTGTGATAGTCAAATAGAGTTCCTCGTATTTGAATTAGATGTTGTATCATGCAAATCGCAAATCACACATTCTTTATTTTCAAGATTTATCAATTTTACGAAACTAAGTTGTATTATTGAATTACTGCTTCACAATTTTTCTTTTAAGTGATCTATTTATTGGCAAAGTTTATAATATATAATAAAAAATCAAGAAAAATACTAAAATTAATTTTTTTAAAAATAAATTTTTATATTCAATATATTAATATAAATATATAGATTATTTTTTATATAATTATAAATACTTATTTTCATAATAAAAAATTAGATATAATTCCTTGAATTTTTTATTTTATATATAGTCAAATCTCTCTATCTATTTATAGTCATCTTGTTTTGCTTTCCTATTTATATATAAATATATTAAAAAAAATTTCTCTATAGTCATGTTTTTTTTATAATCATCAAAGTTTGCTTTTCCAAGAATGATAATTATAAGAAATTTAACTATAAATAATTAATAATAACTAAAATTAAAAATTCAATAATCAAAAAATTATTAATTTATTTTAAGTTAATTTAATTTAGTTTAATCTTTTATATACAAAAACTCAAAATAATAATAATTTTTTTAATATATTTTTTATAAAAATAAAAATAAAATAATAATTCTAATTACTTTTTAATTATATTTGAAATTAACTAAAATATAATATCTAGAAATTTATAACTAAAAATTATATTTTAATTAATTATAACTTGCAATAATTAATTAAAAAATTATAATTAATTATAATAATTAATTAAAGAATTATAATTGAGTTATAACCAATTGTGATTTATCTTTATTTATAATAAAAATATATATAATAATTATTATAATTTTAATATTAATACTATTCAAACTATATATATTTTTTATTTTATATTTAATAATTCTGTATTAATATAATTATTTTAACAAAATTAATCAGCAAATTATAAATTATAAATTATATTCAAAATTTATATTATAATATTTATAATTTTATATAATAAAAATAATAATATAAATTAAATCTAAAATAAATAACAAAAATAAAAAGAAACAAATAAAACAACAATAATTATAATAATATTAATAATATATAAAAACAAAAATAATAATATTTATAAAATAATATTATTATTATATTTTAAAAATATATTAGAATAAGTTAAGCAAGAAAATTTATAAATTAAATATATTAATAATATTAATAATATAATAAATCAAGTAATTTAAGAATAAGATCTTTGTTTACAAAAAATTTATATATATAAGTATTGTCACTGATTCAATATCATCAGTTATTCCATATGAAAACACGTGAATAGAAGACGCAGTAATGATAAAAGATTGGTCATAATAATATTTGAATTACGTGTCTAGTTCGATAACATTCTACTTCTTTCTTTTTCTTTCTATTTTATTCTTTTTCTTTCTCGTATCACTT